GGGAAAGGGCAGAGTGGGGCTTCACCTTTCTCTTCTCAAGTTTGAGCTGCATCCATTTCATAAAGCATTTGGCCTATAGTACCTGTTGTTTAAAACATAATATCAACTTGTAGCAGTGAACCAAAGAAAGAAAAGCCACCATTTTGTAAGAACAATATCAGTTAAACACTTGACCTTGAAAAAAAAAAATAAAGAGGGAGAGAGAGAGAGAAAAGAAAAGGAAAGGGAAAAGAAAAGAAAAGAAAGAAAAAAGATTGTTGTTAAAGCCATTCTTCTACTTCTTCTGGTATCATCTCTTTAATCAGACATAAGATAATAGAATACACTTTTGAAACACGTTCTGTCAGGTTGTTTTCTTTCAAGATCCTTTGACAATCAGAGCTCTATAATTAGGGATCCAAATAGAGCCTTAAGGGCTTTGTCTTATCCATGAAGTCAATTCACCTGACAATATGTGGGTTTGTAAGATTAAAGACAGTAGACAGTAGGGATGGATTTTCAGGCTGGGGATCTGGTGTTCTAAGATTGGTTTTATTTTTTATGAAAACTTTTCAGGGCCAGCAGGTAGTGTAATGTTTAAGGTGTTAGACGACCACATAGCCAACTGTGGTCAGTGTCCCAAACCTGGCAGCTTGAACATCATGCCAGGCGTGTGTGTGTGTGCATGCTCAAAATCCCAGGAGGAGAGTGGAGGAGAAAGGATTGCAGTGTGGCCATCTTCCCTGGGGGTGATTTCTCACTTTCCAACTCTTTCTGTCTCTCTCTGGTGAGTGCACACATCCTATGACAAAAATCTAAAAAAAAAAAAAAAGAAAAAAAGTTTTTCATGGGATGACTAACATAGCAAAAAGCTCAATTTCACAAACAGCAATAGACTAAATAGTTCAATAAGGTTCATAGCTGTACTTTTTTTAACTGATTATTTGAGATGTACTTTAAGAATTGTCACTACTGAGGTTCATCTTTCACGATAAGACTTCCTTTAGAAATCATGGCACCTGGGACCAGCAGTTAGTGTAATGGCTATATTGCTGGACTCCCACGTAGTTGACCGCGGTTCGAGTCCCGGACCCGGTGGCTTAAACTCACGCCGGGCAAGTGTGTGGGCGTGCCCAAGATCCCGAGAGGAGAATGGAGGAGAAGGGTTTGCAGAGTGGCCATCCCCCCTGAGGGGGCGATTTCTCGCTTTCTGTCTCTCTGTCTCTCTCTGTCTGTCTGGCGAGCGCACGCGCCCAATAGCAAAAACTTCTCAAGAAAAAAAAATAGAAATCATGGCACCTCATCTTTTATTTCAAACATTAATTTTGCAGGCATTTTCTGTCCTCTAAGAGTCTCAGCCAAGTTGATCTTCCCGTAGACTGACTCCTGCTACTTATGAAATCAATATTTCTGTCATATTAAGTCATAACAGATCTAGCATTGTCCTAATTTTAGAACCTCTTTTCTTTTCTCTTCTTTTCTTCCTTTTCTTTTTTCTCTTTTCTTCTTCTTGTCTTCTTCTTGTTGCTGTTCTTCTTCTTCCTCTTCCTCTTTCCTTTTTAACCACCTTTCAGACGATAAGAAACAAAGTATTCAGGTGCCTTTTAACATTCTTACTAGGGCCAGCAGGGGGTGTGGTGGTTAAGATCCTGGATTCCCACATTGCAGACCACAGTTCGTGTCTCAGACCCAACAGCTTATTACCTCACTGGGTATGTTTGCACCTGCCCAAAACTCCCAAGAGGAGAATGGAGGAGGAGAAGGGAGTGCAACATGGCCACCCCTCCACCCCCAGGGGTAGGATCATTTCTCACTTTCCCTCTCTCTGAGTCTCTCTGGAGAGTGCACACACACTATGGCAAAAACCTAAAAAGAAACACTAATAAAGTAATAAAATAAAATAAAATTCTTCCCAATCTGGGAATTTTGAGGTTTTCTTGGAAACATAGCAGTGAGGTCCATGATTGATTTATAAGATCATGATTCAGTTGCATACATTTTAAAGCTCCCTAGAATGAGAAGAAATACCATGACAATTATTTTAAATATTCAGTCATGAATGCAAGATTGGACCAAGGTGCTGCCATTCCCAGATGGCTTCTTCAGAACTTTTTTCAATTTAGCATCACTAACGTTTGGCGGCTTTGATTAAAGCAAGACGAAGGAATGGCAAGACAACTCAATGCAAGTGAATAAAAATGCTGTGAGATGTTAATGTTTTGAAGTTGTTAGCTTGTGTTCTTTGATTTAAAGGAAGATTATGATCTCAGGTTTCAGTAAAATAACATCATTTGCTCAAATACAGTTGCAATTATTGGCCTTATAGTTTGATCTCTTCAATATATTAAAGAAAATGACTAAGAATATGTGTGAAGATTTAGGCACAAGTTGATAGTAGCAAAAAATTAGAAGGAACCTAAATGTTCAATGTTAGGGGAACAGCGAAATAAATAATAGCGCATGCATGCAATGGAACTCTTGTTGCCACCAGAAAAGATGCTGCAAAGGAGTATTTAATGACCTAACAAGATGACAAAATGTATTAAGTGAAAGATTCAGCTTACAAAATAGTATACACAAAATCAATTTTTAACCCTTTTGGGTCATAGACCTCTTTGAGAATCTGAGTAAAAAAAAAAAAAATGTACATTTACTTTGGTCTTCCAGTCTCCTGTCTCCTCTCTTCGGCTACCGTTAGCAGACAGAAGCACATGCTATTTTATCCTGGATGGTCTTGGCAGTATAATGTATAAAACTTAGAATTTCTCCTCGGCCTGCAAATTAGGTAAATCATATAATGATGAACTTAGAAACTTTCCCCTAAATTGTATGTAACAGAAAGGCTTCATGCATAACCTGTCTTAAGATGAGATCTACTATTTGTTCAAATGCTTTTAATATTCTTAGTGCACTTTTATTTATTAATTATTTATTTGGGAGAGAGAGCATTAGCAAGGGAAAGATATTTTTGACAGGATCTCACCATATCTGATCCCTCTGTCTCAGCCTCCCACCCAGCTAGGACCACAGGTATGTACCACCATGCCCAGCCAGTGCAGGCTAAGCTGGGAACTGAACCTGAGCCTCCCATACAACTTCAGTCATCTTGAAACAGTGCTCGCCTGCTTGTACCACTGTAGCTGGGCTATGCTCATTTTTGATAGTTGGTCATTTGTCCATTAATTATCACATGTGAAATACTCCATATAGAGCCTAGCGTGTATTAAATAAATATGTAAATGTTAGCTATAATTTTTAACTCATGTGTATTGGCTTATTCATTCAAATATTTACTGAACAGGTCCAGTCAGTGGCATAGTGGTTAAGGTGCTGGATCCTACATGTTCAACTGTGTGGTTCAAGTCCTGGACCCAGCTTGATAAATATTCCAGGTATGTGTGCATGTGTGCCCAAAATCCTGAAAGGAGAATAGAGGAGATTAGATTGTGGCATGGCCATCCACTCTGGGGGACACTTTCTTATACCTACAGTCTTTCTTAGGTGAGTGCACGTGCCCTATAGGGAAAAAAAAAGGAAATTTAATGAACAATTACCTTGAACCTGGCCAGCCAGTAGTGAATAAGACAGGTGTGGTCCTGCTCTCTTGCAGTTTCTTTATTGGGGGAAGCAAACATCAATCAACCACTTCAGAAAACAAAAACAAAACCAAACAATGATAACAAAGAAACAGGGATAGTGCTCCAAAGTAGAGACAGAAGGTAACATGAGAGCATATATTGGGACATCCAGCCTATTGTGAGGTGTCAGGGAAGCTGAGACCCTAAGGGTGAATGGAGATTATACTGGAAGTTAGGGATAGAGTGGGCTGGAAAGGAACAGCATTCTAAACAGAGAGAACATGTGAATCAACATTTGACCTGAATTTCTGTAGGTTTTCATAATTTGGAAAAGGTATACTCTTAGTCATGGCAGTCAAAAAAATGTAAGTACAACCCCCTCAAAATGGATTCCATTCTCTTTTCAAAGTTTGTCTTTCTTAACTCTATTAACTCTATTTAGAAACCAAAGATTAGATATCTATTGCAATTGTGAAGAGCTTCCCAACATCTCCAAGGATATATGAGATGTCTTGAGGGAAACGCACCAGCAACATTTTAGCTACGGATCCCAAATATGAACACCTGGCTCTGAGTCATAAGTCATCCTAGAAATTTTAACAATATTTCAAAATTGCATTTAAAAAAATGTTGCCCCCGTAGTGTGTATAGATAACCTAACTTGCTTCCTTTGAAGCCTATTTGAACATACCAATAGATGCACGCTCACTAGGAGTTACAGGTATGGTAGATAGTTTTGTAGGTGCATGTGATTGGACTGGACCTTCTTATCAAGTTTCAGTTATATCAAATTTTACAGCGGACTGGAGTTCATGAAACCAGACTTTCTGGAAGAGAAAGTTCAGTATAAGTTCAGAGGCAGTGGATGTGGTAGAACCGTCTTGCAAACATGAAAGATTAAAACATTATTTCCCTGTATTTAAGTATTACTAGCCTTTCCAAAATGCACTGCATTTTTCTCCCCTTTCCAACATAACATCATGTAAGATAATACTGCAAACAAATGCCCAGACGGATGCTGAATAATTTATAAGAACAAGCTACTGATGTGGATTGGAGAGAAGAAATAACAAAGAAGAAATAATGTTATCGAGACTGATGGAGTAAAAGGACATAAGCAAATGTGAGTGAACAATATCCCTCGAGATTTACACCCACGGCAAAGCTGTGTGCTGTCACTTGGTTCATGTAGATCCCTACTTGAGAACAGAAACAACACCTGGGGAATTAGCTGCACTGTATTATTTAACATTTTATTTATAACTTTTCAGCAGTTTCCATAACCAGCATTATTTAGTCACAAATGTCTTCAGAATCAAGATCATAGGTTTTGACACCCATATATATTTTTAAAGAGGAATAATTTGTACAGTATTACCTCTTCGATGTTTGACAATTTGGAATCTTCCGGTTCTTGCCTATTCACTATTGTATTTTTACAACAGACTACGTCAGCAATAGCAATTAGAAGATTTAGAAGCTCTATTCTAGTGCTCTTTCCAAAAGAAATACCTACAGGCTGTCTGTTTCTAAAGACCTTATTATTCTGTTTTTTTTTTTTTTTTTTTTTAGGAGTGAGTGTTCAAGATAGTATTTAGATTTTGGCTATAAGCCAACAGGAAATCTCTATGGCTATCAATGGGCTTGGAGTCCAGAAGAGTCAAAAATCTTAAGAGGAGCCTTTTTCTTTTCAGAAAGTCATTCCAGGAGTGAGTGGTCAAGATAGTATTTAGATTTTGGCTATAAGCCAACAGGAAATCTCTATGGCTATCAATGGGCTTGGAGTCCAGAAGAGTCAAAAATCTTAAGAGGAGCCTTTTTCTTTTCAGAAAGTCATCGCAGAGATGTGCACTTTAAACCTTAGGATGAACCACATCTAATAAATCCCTCCGGTTTTCAAGAACTGAATCTGATTTCTTTATCATTTAGCAAAACTATATTTATATAAAATTATAGCTTTAAAATTAAAATATAGGTAATTCCTTTGGTCTTGATAAGGTTTTAAAAGGCATACAATGTACTTTGCAAAGCATTTTCCCCCATGAAAGCAGGGACTTTTTCTTGAAGTTGGATTTATCTTTTTTATCTCTTGTATTCACAGTGCCTAGAACAAGAGTAGGAGCTCTATGGATATGAGTAAATGGGTTAAAAAAAAAAAAACTTAGGCAATTAGAATAAACAACAGAAGCAATCGTATAACCTATACACGTAGACCTCAGTAGTCTGGTACCACAAAATTAAGTCACATTGAATATCTACTTTATGAGGACTCTGAGCCTCCACCTGAATCCACGGGACGTTAATCCCCACCAAATACCCTCCAGATATTTCTTAGAGGTCCCCAGAGCAAAGGGCTCCTGCATATTTAGGAACAAGACCAAGGCTTCCTTTGCAGCCATGTCACTGAGTCACACGTTAACGAATTCTGGGGCTTTTGCTAGCCCCCATGAGGCCACCGGTCCTCCCTGTTCACCACAGCCACTCTGCCTGTGGCACTGGGGAGAGGTTACTGGTTACTGTTTTCCTCTTTGCCACTCTGTCCCCAGCCTGGCACAGGCCTTTCTTTAATTCCCCACAGCACAGCTGGAGTGAGGCTGGCATTCTGGGCAGGATTTGATTGCAAGCGTAATATCCGGGGAATACAATCCAGCAGAGGTCTCTATGACTGCTGCTAGAGAAGGCTGCTCTTTGAACTCGGCAGGCCCAAGTCTACCCTCATGGGACTGGAGGTACTCAGTTTGTCTTCATGTGGCGAGGGCCAGCTCGTTTCACCTACGGGGGCGGGGGGCGGTGGGGGGGCGAATCCCTTGAACTTGCCTTCGCTACTGGAAAGCCAAGGCTGGGAGAGAAGGTAGAATCCCCACCCCCACTAAGATCTAAGGCTTTCCTCCCAAGTTACCGTTTTTTACCATTTCCTGTCCCTACGGAGTAGTTTCCCAGGATGACTAACAGTGGACTAGTCACTCAATTTAAGGAAACCTTCATCTTCAATTTATAATCGCCCCTCCCAGAGCAACTAAGTCAGCATACACATCACTTTAACCCAAGTAAACGGCAAAATGGAACACTTTATTAGTTAAAAACCTACAGCTAATAATAACAACTAAGGTTACTTAATGTTTATGTAAGGTCTTTCCATAGCCTTCATCACACACAAAAAGAGGGGATTTGCTTTGTATTTGTATAATTATACACCCCTTTCAGGGTATTTTTCTCCCACAAGGGAATAGTTTGCCTTAAGAATAAATCGGCATCTCTATTATTTCATTATTATGATTATTTGAGAAAAATAATCATTTGCAAATCTTAAATAAATAAATATTTTTCCAGTTTCCAGTTACTAAATTCCTTGGAAGTACTTTTCAACCAGGACATTGTATTTCAATTAAAATAAGCAGAGCTAAATGTGGTGTGGTGTTCTGAAACAGAAAATGGGCATCAGTGGGAAAACGAGTAGTTTAGTAACTAGTAATGCCCCAGGGTTAATTTCTTAGTATTGATCAATATACCAAGGTTAAGTAAGATGCTAATACTAGAGGAAACTGGTGAAGGACATATAAGTTTGGTACTATTGTATAACTTTTCTATAAATCCAAGAGTATTCCAATGTAAAAGCCTCAGTAAATATAAAACAAATGAGGGGTATAGTTTTCAGGCATCAGAACTGGACTATTAAAGTTGGTTGTTAAATTTAGTGCCGATCATTTTTAGAGGTGTGGGGAGATTGCACAAGTCTTCTAAGGAAAAAATCAAAAACAAAAACGATGTATTACATTTATTTGGAAATGTAAAATTTTCCAGTTCAGAATTTCAGAACAAATTTACTACATGGATGCTTACATAAGAAATCATGAAGGGGGACCAGCAGTTAGCATAATGGCAATGTCGCGGGGCGGTGGGGGGGCGAATCCCTTGAACTTGCCTTCGCTACTGGAAATCCAAGGCTGGGAGAGAAGGTAGAATCCCCACCCCCACTAAGATCTAAGGCTTTCCTCCCAAGTTACCGTTTTTTACCATTTCCTGTCCCTACGGAGTAGTTTCCCAGGATGACTAACAGTGGACTAGTCACTCAATTTAAGGAAACCTTCATCTTCAATTTATAATCGCCCCTCCCAGAGCAACTAAGTCAGCATACACATCACTTTAACCCAAGTAAACGGCAAAATGGAACACTTTATTAGTTAAAAACCTACAGCTAATAATAACAACTAAGGTTACTTAATGTTTATGTAAGGTCTTTCCATAGCCTTCATCACACACAAAAAGAGGGGATTTGCTTTGTATTTGTATAATTATACACCCCTTTCAGGGTATTTTTCTCCCACAAGGGAATAGTTTGCCTTAAGAATAAATCGGCATCTCTATTATTTCATTATTATGATTATTTGAGAAAAATAATCATTTGCAAATCTTAAATAAATAAATATTTTTCCAGTTTCCAGTTACTAAATTCCTTGGAAGTACTTTTCAACCAGGACATTGTATTTCAATTAAAATAAGCAGAGCTAAATGTGGTGTGGTGTTCTGAAACAGAAAATGGGCATCAGTGGGAAAACGAGTAGTTTAGTAACTAGTAATGCCCCAGGGTTAATTTCTTAGTATTGATCAATATACCAAGGTTAAGTAAGATGCTAATACTAGAGGAAACTGGTGAAGGACATATAAGTTTGGTACTATTGTATAACTTTTCTATAAATCCAAGAGTATTCCAATGTAAAAGCCTCAGTAAATATAAAACAAATGAGGGGTATAGTTTTCAGGCATCAGAACTGGACTATTAAAGTTGGTTGTTAAATTTAGTGCCGATCATTTTTAGAGGTGTGGGGAGATTGCACAAGTCTTCTAAGGAAAAAATCAAAAACAAAAACGATGTATTACATTTATTTGGAAATGTAAAATTTTCCAGTTCAGAATTTCAGAACAAATTTACTACATGGATGCTTACATAAGAAATCATGAAGGGGGACCAGCAGTTAGCATAATGGCAATGTCGCTGGACTCCCACGTAGTCGACCGTGGTTCACGTCCCGGACCTGGTGGCTTAAACTCATGCCAGGCGCATGTGCATGAGTGCCCAAGATCCTGAGAGGAGAATGGAAGAGAAGGGATTGCGGCATGGCCATCCCCCCTGGGGAGTGATTTCTCACTTTCTGTCTCTCTGTCTCTCTCTGTCTGTCTGATGAGCACACATGTCCTATGGCAAAAACCTCCAAGAAAAAAAAAAAAGAAATCATGAAGAACTTAAAGGTGGTTGTGCTCATCTACCATCTGATAACAACAAAAAATAAATGGGGGTCAGTGGTAACACAACTGGACACACATGGAGAAGTCCAGGGTTCACGTCCTGGAGCCTCCCTGTCTACATCAGGCATGCGTGAGTGCCCACGGTCCAGCCTGACGAGGACAGGAGTGGATCACAGCATGGGAACCCCGTTGGATGTGCTCGTCTCTCTCGCTCTCTCTTTTTCTGTCTCTCATGGAATAAATAAATGAATAAACTTTAAAAGGTGATTTCAAGTAGATTTTTAAAATCTTGAGCTCCAAAAATGTCAAATTCATAACAAGAAATTTCATTCACAGTGCCTATCTTTGTGGGAGTGGGAGCACAGAACTAAGATGATATGGCCAGGTATGTTATTGGGTTGTCAGAAAAGTCATGACACATTTTCGCATAGAAAAGCATAGGAAAAAATACATCATGATTTTTCTGACAACCTACTTTCCAATGATCTTACTTAGAGAATTTAAAAAGTTAGGATTATTGTTTGGAGAACCTAAGTGAATTAAACTATTTTATTTCTTAGACTGTCTCTGAACTGAAAAGTGTCACTCTTACTTTTAATCAGAGATGGGTCATAAACTCATGGTTAATTTAAGGGGGTTACTGATAAGCTTTAGAGATGGACAATAAAACTTACAAAGATGCAATAACTTAGGAACCTTACAGGTGGCGGACAAAGATATATTAGCATAGGAACTCATCCACTCGGAGATTGGCTACATAAGGCCCATTAGAGAACCTTTATTTATTTGTTTGTATGCCAAAATGCATATTTGAATCAGTTCAAATAAATGAACAAGCCTATGGTTGAGAAGTTCTGCACTAATTTGTGTGTAACAGATGATTTGGGCTGGAACATTTAAGAGCAACTCTATCAATCAACTGCTCAGATTGTTGAACGAACCCTTTACTAGGTTCCCGTCGAATATCTGCCTGTGAGAAGAACAGTATCCTGTACATTCCTTACAAGGCTCAGTAACTCCTTGGTGGCGGAGGATACTAGCTGTCCTCCAAAATCAATGCTCCCACTTCTTAGGCTCCTTGGGAGTAGACAAGGTTATACTACTAAGCTCTCAGCAGCTATGGGCAATTTCTTCATTTTGTAAGAGGAATCTCTGACCCTGGGCTGCCGATTTTCCCCTTCTGTCTGGCTGGAATAGAACAGCTTGGAAGCCACATGTTGGCGATGGCAGAGGCACTGCTAGGTCCACTTCCCAAATGACTGCGTGGTGCAGAGCTGGGTGCCAGCCCTGAGCCAGTCACCTCAGACTGCAGCAGGCAGAAGTGATCTTCTCTCTTCTCTTTGAGTTAGTGAATCTTCTGGTAGTACCTTGTCTGACTTACCTTCAAAAAGCAGGAATATTGGCAGACTGTGTTGAGGAGTGTGACTTGGACCTGTGATTTTGGACCTGTGATTTTCT